GTGAGGACCAGGAGGCCTGTGAGCCAGGCCCTTCTCTGGCTACACAGCTCTGCTCTGCTTCACTGCGCTAGTCTGCTTGACTCTACTCTGGTGAGACATCTTCAGTGATTCAGCTCAGCTTGGGAGAAACAGTCTTCAGTCTTGGGCTTAGGGGTATACTTCCCAAGCCAGAGTGGAGATGGCTTATTTGGATAGGAATCCCTGCCCTTGGTCCCTGATTGGCTTGTCCTGCAGATGAAGACTCTAACTCTTCATAGTTTGATTGGCCTAAAATGCACTTTTCTGATTGGTTGGAAAAGAGGTACTTTGGTTGGTCACAACTGTGCAGCTCCAAATGGATGAGGAAAGCCTAGTCCTGTTGGTTGAAAGAGGATTCCAGGCACTCCTTTTTAACAGCTAGCTCTGAAGGCAGAAACACAGGACAGGTAGACAGTTGAGTGCACAGGCTTTTTTCTAAAGTGTATTTTGCATGAACGGCCCCTGTGTAGAAGTGGCTGCTAGGCAATTTTAAAATTTTTGAGTCCAGTCCTGGCTGGTTTTGCTCAGTGGTTAGAGCATCGGCCAGTGGACCAAAGAGTCACAGGTTTGATTCTGGTCAAGGGCAGAATCGCTTTGGTCCTGGTCAGGGTCATGCAGGAGGCAACCAGTCGATGTGTCCCTCTCACATTGATGTTTCTGTTTCTCTCCCTCCCTCCCACTCTATCTGAAGATAAATAGAAAAATATTTTTTGGGTGAGGATTAAAAAAAAGAATAATAAAAAATTTTGAGTCCAGTTAGCCACCAGGAGCTTTTCTTGGTAGGTGTCTTCCTTCTCAGGGTTCACACTAGGAAATTAATTGAAGAGGGTTCTGTGCCCATATATTCTGCTCCATTCTGTGTTCTAACTCATTTCACCCTCAAATGACTAGTTTTGATTGCTGCTTGCTCATCCTGTTTGTGTGTCTTTATATAAAAACAAAGCCAGTGCAAAAGCCTATTTTTCATTATTGTGTTTGTTGGAGTCATGAGTGGTCAGGCTCCACATGTTTGGTTTTTGACTTCTGAAAACTTAAGCTTTAGCCTTCCCTTTCCTGATACTCCTAATCCTGTCAGGCTGATAAAGCCTGGGGGCTCCTACATTGTGAGCTGCTGCTTGTGGAGCACCTGTCCTATGAGCTGTGCTGCTGTTTGCTGTATTGTGAACTCTACAGACCATGGGTTCTATATACAGAGGACACTGGGTTCAGAGTTTAAATAATTCCTCATCCTTTATGAACAGGAGTATGAAAATGGGACCCTCCTTACCGTGGTCCTGGGTCAGCATCTTGAATTTTTCTTTATTGATTTTTAGAGAGAGAGAGTAAGGGAGAGGGAGAGAGAGAGAGAGAGAGGGTGAGAGAGAGAGAGAGAGAGGAACATTGATGAGAGGGAACATCGACTGGCTGCCTCCTGCATGCCCCTCACTGAGGATCGGGCCCACATCCTGGGCATGTGCCCTGACCAGGAATTGAACTAGTGACCTCTTGGTGTATGGATTGATGCTCAACCACTGAGCCACACTGGTTGGGTTAATTTTTATATTATATATAGTAGTTTTACTTCCCATTAATCTTCTGTGCTCCACTTATTCAGTCATTTCTTTCTCCAACCCCTAAATCCTTTAAACCCAGAGGCCTTTTTATTGGTTCATGTTTTTTTGTGTTCCAGATTGTTATATACTCAGAATTATACAGTGTGTAGCCTTGTGAGATTGGCTTTTTTCACTTAGCAAAGTACTTTTATGTTTTCTTCATTTGTTTTCATGGCTTAATACCACATTTATTTTTATCACAAAAAGTGTTTGTCATTTCGGTTTGCCTTTTGAAAGACATCTTGCTTAACTTTTTTAACTCTTGACAATTATGAATACTGTGCCTAAAAATATTAATGAATAGGTTTTTGTACAAACATAAGCTTTCAGTTCATTTAGATCTATACCACTGAGTGTAATTTCTGTACCTTAACCGTATGTAGTAAGAGTACATTTATTACTAAAAGAAAGTTCCTGTCTCAGTGTAGGCATGCCCAATTCTTTTCCCACCAGCAATGAGTAAGAATTACCTGCACCTTCACAGTCCATATCTGCTGTTCTGTGCATTTTGAATTTTAGCCATTCAGTAAGTGTGTAGTGATACTTCATTGCTCTTTTATTTGCATCTAGATTTTCTCATATGTTATCATGTAGGAATTTATTACTTTTGCTTTTTACATGTAGATCTCTGATGTGTTTTGAGTTAATTTTTGTGAAAGGCGTATGGTTTTTGTCTTCATTTGTTTTGTGTGTGTGCATGTGTTTGTATGTGGATATTCATTATTTCTATCACCATGTTCAAAAGACATTCTTTTCCCACTTAATTACCTTTCTTCCTTTGTCAGTAGTCAGTTGAGTATATCAGTGTGGCTCTATAGAAAAGCTATTGATTTGTGTATCTTTCAGTTACTCTCTTATTTATTCCAGGAATTATCTCTTTTGTTGTGGGTTCTTTCTTGTGTGTTACATAGACACTGATGTCATGAGGAACAAGTGTAATGAATTTAGCTACATGTTTTGAGAATTTTTTTTCAAGAAGTAATAGTTTCCTTCTATTGTTAGTTTGCTATCATAAGCAGATGTTCAATTTGATCAAGTCCTTTCTTCTTCTTCTTTTTTAAATCCTCGCCCAAGAATATTTTTCCATTGATTTCCAGATAGTGTGAAAAGGAGGGAGGGAGGGAGAGAGAGAGAAAAATAGATGTGAGAGAGACACATTGATTGGCTTCCCCCTGCATGACCCTGACTGGGGCCAGGGATTGAACTGCAACCCAGGTATGTGCCCTTGACCAACTCTTGAACCCACAACCCTTCAGTTTGAGGACTGATGCTCTAATCACTGAGCCAAACTGGCTAGGGCCCTAGCAGTAGCTGGCCTTAGTTCAGAGCTTAGCCTCTCCTGGGCACCCAAATTCAGCACAAGTAGCATCCATCTGTAGATCACTTTGTACCTCATGCCAAGAGGCCCCCAAGGGGCACAGGTGGGGGTTGAAGTTGACATGCAATACCCAGGAGGCCTCAGAGTCAGCACACACAGTGTAAACCTTCAGTCCATTCCAGAGGACCACCCAACAAACCTCCACAAGTGACACACTCAAGGAACTGACTTGGCAGGCACTAGAGTCCTGCTGAAGTGAGTCCTGCTTTATGAGGTCAGCCCCTGCACAGCAGCTTCTTGGCTGTGCTCTTAGCCAGTCCTTATAGCCAGTCAGCTTAGCTGTCAGTCCCTCCCATTGACATGCCAACTGCAATCAAGACTCGACCACAACAGGAAGGTGCACACAGCCCATATGGGACATACCTGGAATGCCTAGCTCAGCTTCAGTGACCAGGGAGGTTGCATCACTGAGCCCTACAGGACACCTACTAAATAAGGACACTTTACCAAGACCAGGAGACATAGCCACTTTACCCAATATACAGAAAAAAAACAGAGGGAGGCAGCCAAAATGACACAAACATGTCTCACATGAAAGAACAGAACTGCAAAAAAAGAACTAAACAAAATGGAGACAAACAACCTACAGAGTTCAAACACTGGTTATAAGAATGCTCAGTGATCTCAGGAAAATTTAAACAAAGAGATAGAAAACATAAAGATGAAGATAGAAAGCATAAAAAAGAACCAGTCAGAAATGAAGAATACAATAACTGAAATTAAGAATACATTAGAAGGAATCAACACTATATTAGGAGAAGCAAAGGATAAGGAAGAAGAAAACACTGATACAAATGGAAAAAAGAATTTAAAAAATGAAGATAGTTTAAGGGGCTTCTGGGACCAAACACATCAGACATAATAACATTCATATGGGGGTGATGGAAGGAGAGAGAGACAGCAAGGAATTGAAAGTAATGATGGAAATTTTTCCTAACCTGGAAAAGTAAGTAGACATAGAAGCTCAGGAAGTACAGTCTCAGACAAGAATAACCCAAAGAGGCCCACACCAAGACACATAATTAAAATGCCAAAGGTTAAAAACAAAGAGAATTTTAAAAGCAAGAGAAATGCAGTTAGTTACCTACAAGGGAGCTCCCATAAGACTGTTGGCTGATTTCTCAACAGAAACTTAGAAGGCCAAAAGGGATTGGCATAAAATATTCAAAGTAATGAAAAGCAAGGACCTACAGCCAAGATTACTATACCCATCAAAGCTATCATTTAGAATCAGAGGACAGGTAAAGAGCTTCCAGGACAAGAAAAAGCTAATGGAGTTTATCACTACCAAACCAGTATTACAAGAAATTTTAAAGGGACTTCTTTTAAAAATAAGAAGAAACCAAAGGATCAAAAATATGAGTAATAAATATATATCTATCAACAATTACTTTAAATGCAATTATAAAACAGTGGGTGGATGAATGGCTAAGAAAACAAGACCATTAAATAGGCTTTCTACAAGAGACTCACTTCAGACTGAGAGATACAGACTGAAAGTAAAGGGATGGACAAAGATATTTCATGAAAATGTGAACAACAACAGAAAAAGTGGGGTAGCAATACTTATACCAGGCAAAATAGTCTTCAAAACACAGGCCATAACAAGAATCATGGAAGGACTCAGTAATTTCAATTTCTTTCTGGGTGTTCAGCTGAAGAAACTCAAAACAGTACATTGAAAAGACATATGCATCCATATGTTTCTCGCAGCATTATTTACAATAGCCAGTATATGGCAGCACCCTAAGTGTCCATCAATAGATGAATGGCTAAAGAAGAAGTGGTGCATATATATAATGGAATATGCCTCAGCAATAAGAAAGAATGAAATCTTGCCATCTGCCACATGTATGGACTTACATACAGTGTATTGTGCTGAGTAAGATAAGTCAGACAAGGAAAGACAAATGTCATATAATTTCACTATGTGGACTCTAAATAGCAAAATAAATGTATGAGCAGAACAGAAACAGACTCCTAGATACAGAGAACAATTTAACAGGTACCAGATGGTAGGGGAATTGAAAGTGGATGAAAATTGTAAAGGGATTAACTACAAATTGGTAGTTAAAGGATAGTCATGGGGATGTAAAGTATAGCATAGGGAATACTGTAAGTAATATTGTAAAAACTGTGATATCAAATGGGTACTAGATTTATCTGGGTGATCACTTTCTAAGTTATATAAATGTCTTATCACTGGGTTCTACACCTGAAACGAATACAATATTGTATGTCAACTATAATTGAAAAATAAAATTATTTTTTTAAAAAGATAAAATAGCTTTACTAGTGACAATTCTCTCAATTTTTATCTCAGAAAGTTCTTATTCTTTAAAACGGTCATTTTCCTTGACACAAAATTTTACAGACTGGTTTTTAAAATTTCAAAATGTTCAATATTTTACTCTGATCTTGCTGGCACAGTTTCTGAAAACAAGTCGAATTTAATTCATCTTTGTTTCTCTATACCTAAGGTCTATTTTTTCCTCTGGCTTCTTTTAATATATGCTCTTTGTCTTTGATTTTTGTGTAATTTGAATATGATATGCTTCGGTGTGCATTTTTGGTGTTTTTCATGTTTGGTGTTATGGAGCTTTCTGCTTCACTTATCTCCTGTTACTTTTGGCGTTTTTCAGATATTCCCATTTTTTTGTATTTTAATCCTTGTGTTAAGAAAGGTTGTTTTTTATTTTATAGGTATTGAGTTCTGTCTTTATTGTTCTTCATTGTCTTTGCATTAGACTCTGGTGATACAGATTTTTTGTTGTTGTTACAGGCCTTGTTAAAAATGGAATACTTAGGGCATATCTCAAGATACCATCTTTTCTCTTTTCTAATTTTGGAGATACCATTTTCCCTGTGACCTTAAAGTTCTGGTGGATCTAAGAAGACTAGTTTATTTTATGTTTTCTTCTTCTTCTTCTTCTTTTTGATGAGATCAAGAATGGCAGAGGAACTAAATAGACACCTCTCCAAACAGGACATACATATGACATACAAGAGACATATGAAGAAATGCTCAACATCACTAATCATCAGAGAGATGCAAATTAAAACAACAATGAGGTATCACCTCACACCTGTCAAAATGGCCGCCATCAGCAAATCATCAAACAACAAGTGTTGGCGAGGGTGTGGAGAAAAGGTGACTCTAGTACACTGCTGGTGGGAATGCAGACTGGTGCAGCCACTATGGAAAACAATATGGTGTAACCTCAAAAAATTAAAAATTGAACTTCCATTTGACCCAGTGATCCCACTTCTAGGAATATACCCTAAGAAGCCTGAAACACCAATCAGAAAGAATATATGTACCCTCGTGTTTGTAGCAGCAGTATTTACAATCGCTAAGATCTGGAAACAGCCCAAGTGTTCATCAGTAGACGAACGGATAAAAAAGCAGTGGTACATATACACAATGGAGTACTATGCAGCTGTAAGAAAGAAAGATCTCTTATCCTTTGAGACGACATGGAGGGACCTGGAAAGTATTATTCTAAGTGAAACAAGCCAAACAGAGAAAGACAAGTATCATATGATCTCACTTATTTGGGGAATATAATGAACATAACAGTCTGAGGAATGGGGTAGTCCCAGAGACGTGGAAGTGGGGTACAGACTGACAATCCCCAGAAGAGGGGGTGGTGGGGGAGAGATAAACCACAGAACTTATATGCATGTATGCATGAACAGTGGACATGGACAACAAAGCTGGGGACAGGGCAGGGAGGGAGAGGGAGGGGGGAATCAGTGGGGAGAAAAGGAGAAACATTTGTAACAAAAATAAATAAATAAATAAATAAATTTTTTAAAAAAAGAATGGCAGTTCTGAAGTTCCTTACATGTTACACCGGAAGGTGGCAGGGCAGCCTCTGGAGTGACTCGTCAGGAAAATTTTTCCTCCTGAAATTGGAGAATGGAAAAGAATGGAAATTCCTTTTAGAAGAAAGTACTGTTAATCTTTTATGTGTTCTGTAATCATGGCTAAATTTGCCATCAGTTCACATTAACATCAGTGAACTCCCTTGAATTGGAAGCTCTTAACCTGTTCTTCAAGGGTAGTGAGGCCAGGGTACCCTGTTAGGGTTTGACCGCAAAGAGCTAGCTTGGCCTATTCTCTTCACTATGTGTTCTAAAATTTGGGAGGAAGTGTCCCTGAGCACACATATACAGGGATTTGTGGAGTAACTTGTCCTGCCTTCTTCCTTGTGTGAGCTTTAAGCTCCAAATAACTCTGTAGCCCTATTAAATTGGACAGAGAGTGAAAGGAAGAACCGAGTCTGTGGAAATAATACACAAGTTACAAGCAGTGTTTCTCCACAAGCATATTTACACTGAGTCAGCTGCACCTGATTGCTGGTAAAGGCCTGGAAGACTTTAGGACGACATGATCAGCTGGCTTTGTTGAAAATGATTCTCCCATACCTCCCGGACTCTCGTGTTTGGTGACGGGAATAGAAGGAAAAACTTTAAAATTTCACTATGTTTTATTTATTAAAACTTCATGTAGGTTTAACCCTCTGTCTCATGGAGTGCTATAAAATGGTGGGTAATATCAGATGAAAGTGTTATTTTCACAATAAATCAATGGTTTTAAAATTATAATACAAGTTTCATTTGTATGGTATTCCTGTTATTTCCCAATATGATCAGGACCTTGATGTTATGGAGAAATATAATCACAGTAAGAATGTGTAAGTGATTTCCAGGTGTTCACCGTGGTATTATATTTATGAGAAAGTAAGTGTGGACAGACAATAACTTTGATGATCATGTCATAGAGTGAATGTTTGGAGACAAGAGAATCTTACATAACTTTAAAATATACATATTTGGGATGTTTTAGGATTCAGTGGCCTTTGAGGATGTGGCTGTGAACTTCACCCTGGAGGAGTGGGCCTTACTGGATTCTTCACAGAAGAAACTCTACAGAGATGTGATGCAGGAAACCTTCAGGAACCTGGCCTCCACAGGTAAGGATGATGACATTACTTCAGTTGTCAGGTAGAGAACAAGTGTTGCCTGCTCACCAGTGTTCCAAGATGTGTAATGTGGAAAAGGAGGATGCTGGTAAATAACCTTGGCATGGCTACAGCACATCATGGATCTAGGAGCAAATAATCTGTCTACATTGTAATTCCTTGGACTCATTTTTCTGGGTCTGCCTTTTAGGAAAAAGATGGGAAGAGCATGACATTAAAGATCAGTACAAAAACCAGAGGAGAAAATTAAGGTGAGTCACACTCACAATAGAGCACAGTATCTTCATGTGCAAATTCTAGTATGTTGTGAAATTTAAAAAATAGTAAACAAAACAAATAAACCCTGCTTCAAATGTATTTCTTGTTAGAAAAAATATTGAAGTATTGTCTTAAATAAAACATTTATGTTCAGTGTTTGCAAATAGTTCATGTGGAAATAGCATTAAAAACCCATATATGAAAACCTGTTTTATAATAACAAGGGTAAAGTCTTCTTGAGGAACATTCAGTATATTTGCAGACAATTCAGATAAAACAGAATATCTATACTTTTTCTATAAATTATAATAAGTACAATGACTATGAAATTAGTAATGAAGAAATCATTAATAATGTGTTTCTTATTTTTTACAGAAACCCAATGGTAGAGAGACTCTGTGAAAATAAAGAGGTTAGTCAATATGGAGAAAACTTCAACCTTATTTCAAATCTCAATCTGAACAAAAAAACCACTGGAGTAAAACAACATGAGTGCAAAGCATGTGGAAAAGTCTTTGTATTTCGTTCCTCTCTTAGTAGGCACAGATGTCACAATGGACACAAAATATATGAATTTCGAAAATATGGAGAGAAGCCATATAAGTGCAAAGAATGTGGTAAAGCCTTTAGTTATCTGAACTGGTTGGAAAAACATGAAATAACTCACAATGGAGAAAATTCCTGTGAATGTAAAATATGTGGTAAAGTCTTTAGATCTTCCAGAAATGTTAAAATACATAAAATAACTCACACTGGAGAGAAGCCCTATGAATGTAAAATATGTAGTACAGCATTTAGGTATCTCAGTGATCTTCGAAGACATGGAAAAACTCACAGTGGAGAGAAGCCCTATGAATGTAAAATATGTGCTAAAGCCTACAGAGACCACTGGTCTTTTCAAATACATGAAAGAGTTCACACTGGAGAGAAGCCCTATGAATGTAAAAGATGTGGTAAAGCCTACATATCCTACAGGTCCTTAAATAGACACAAAGAAACTCACACTGCAAAGAATCCCTATGAATGTAAAATATGTAGTACAGCATTTAGGTATCTTAGTGATCTTCAAAGACATAAAAGAACTCACACTGGGGAGAAACCCTATAAATGTAAAATATGCAGCAAAGCGTTCACATATTCCAATTCACTTCCAAAACATGAAAAAATACATACTGGAGAGAAACCATATGAATGTAAGCAATGTGATAAATCCTACAGAGACCATAGTTCCTTACAAAGACATGAAAGAACTCATAATGGAGAGAGACACTGTGAATGTAAACGATGTGGAAAAGTCTACAAAGATCCCAGTTCCTTACAAAGACACAAAAGAGCTCATACTGGCGAGAAACCCTGTGAATGTAAACGATGTGGAAAAGTCTACAAAGATACCAGTTCCTCTCAAAGACACAAAAGAGCTCATATTGGAGAGACACCCTACAAATATAAGAAATGTGGAAAGCCTTTATTGAGATCACATAATCTGTTTAAGACACATGACAGTGAATACTGAAAAAAAATTATAGAAAGGCTTCAGTTATATTTGATTCTATCAAAAGCTTGAAAGGACTCACTGGATTAATATTCCTAAATGTATACAATATGGAAAAGACTTGAATTGATCCAATTTCTTGCATATGAAAACTCCACAAAAAAATAAACATGTTAAGATGAGAAAACTTGATAAAAATGAATAAACTTTCAACATGAAAGTGTAAATATATAGTGTTTCTTGAGCCTCTTTTTATAGTGCATCATTGGACTATAGATTTCTACTAATTACTTTCAGAAATGTATCATGTGAGATAATGAGTTATCTTTAAACAGTAGTATATAAGGTTAATTGATAGTACTTTAAACATTTTTTTTAAAATTTAAACCTTTAAATAAAAATATATTTTAGGAGACTTGACTTGGGGTGGTAAACACACAACACAATATATAGATGATGTATTAAGAATTGTATACCTGAACCTGTATAATTTTATTAACCAATGTCACTCCAATAAAGTCAATTAAAAAAAAACTGTAGTACATTGACAATGTAATATTACTCAGCCATTAAAAAGAAGGAAATCTTACCTTTTGCTATAGTATGATGGATTTGGAGAATATGATGTTAAGTAAAATAAGCCAGTCAGAGAAATCATATGAAATCAGGTATCATATGATTTCACTTACATGTGGAATTTAATGAACAATATAAACTAACAAAGTGGAAGCAGACTCATGGATACAGGGAACAGACTGACAGTTGTCGAAGAGGAAGCTGTTGAGTGGTGAGAAGGGTGAAAAAGTTAAGCAAGAAAAATAGACTCATGGGCACAGACAGCAGTATGATGATTGTCAGAAAGAAGATCGGGGTAAGGGAGGTAAAAGAAGGTAAATGGGAGAAAAATGGTGATGGAAGGAGACTTGGGCTGGTAAACACAATATACAGATGATGTATTGCAGAAATGTATACCTGTATAATTTTATTAATGTCATCCCAATAAATTCAATAAAATAAATATATTTCTTAGGCATTGGCAATTTATTTATTTGATTATTGTTTATTCTATACCTGAGGATATGTTTTTATTGATATTTAGAGTGAAGGGGGAGAGAGAGAAATAACCATAGATGTGAGAGAGAATAATCAATCAGTTACCTCCCATGTGCATCCCGATTGGGGATCAAACCTACAACCTAGGTATGTGCCCTGACCAGGAATCGAACCCGCAACATTTGGGTATACTGGACAACCATCCTAGCCCCAACTCAGGGCAAAATATATATATATATGTCTATGTATATATATATATATACACACACACATATACATATACATATACATGTATATGCATATTATTTTGTTAACCCTCACCTGAAGATATTTTTCCATTGATTTTTCAGCCAGAGTGGAAGGGAGGAAGAGAGAGAGAAAAACATCGACGTGAGAGAGACACATCTATTGCCTGCCTCCTGCACAATCCCGACTGTGGCTGGGGATCTGACCTGAAACCCAGATCAGTGCCCTTGACTCAGAATTGAACCCTTGACCCTTGGGTCCACTGGCTGATGCTCTAACAACTGAGTCAAACCAGCCAGGGCTAAATAAATATAAATATTTTTTTTAATATTTTCTCTTGATTTTGAAGCCTGTTAGATCCATGGGTGAATTGAAGTGTATTTTTTATATGCAGTCAGATTAAATTTATATTATAATGTTTCATTTATTTTGTGTTAAGGGCCCATTGGAAAAGGACAGTTTGGTATTGGGATTTTCCTAGCGGCCTGTGGCAGTTCTTTTTATTCCCAGTCCATTATATATATTTGTCAACATAGATGTGACCAGACAAGGGACCTGGTCCTGAGCTGTTCTGCCTACGACTGGCCTGTAATGTGTTTGTTCTTGACTTTATGCAGGAAAGATTTCACAATAAGAGTCCAGGTGATTTTGAGAATATGTTTATTAAAGCTAGGGACAGTGAAACAGGAAGGGCTTAGCAAAGAAGAATCAACAGGAGAGAGCCTAGGCAGGGCTGCTTAGGCTCACTGGGAAGTCAGAAAAAAAGGGGGCCTCAGAGACTGGTTCATGGGGTTAGCCTGGGACAAGCTGCTGCTGCTTATTGCTCCCCTGTTTGCAAGTGTAGTGGAGTCCCTTATAGTTTAGGAGATGAAGTGTGTGTGGTGGGGTGGGGTGGGGTGGGGGGGAGAAGAGGGAGAAGGGAAAGGTACAGGCGAGCTCCTGGGAGGAAGAATGCCGGCCAGGTCTAGAAGTTTATCTCTCTTGCAGGTGAGAATTGTAAGGAAGATCTTGGTAGGGTTTCAGCAAAATATTCATCAGTTTTCCAGGTGTGCCCTTTTTGGTGGTGGTCTCCATTGATTGGTCATAGCCAGATCAGGGGGTCATTAATTATTGCAGCTGATCTTGACTTCCACATGGTTTTGCTTCTTTTCTGGGCTTGGAGCTGAAATACAACTGAGGCCTAGATGTTATCTCTAGGTGTTAGCATAGGTAGCTAGATGTTAACAGAGGGAGCAAATGGAATCAACCTTTGGTAGGCACGGTCTGAAGTTGTAACTTCCTGGTGAAACAAGCAGGCCCATACTCCCCAGTTGACCGTCTGCTTGTTTCATCAGGAAGTTACAACTTCACACACTCCTCAGGGAACCACCAGTCTGTACCCCTCATATCACTGGGGGAAGGGATAAAACAATAAAAAGAGAGGTAAGCACATGCACAGTAGAAGTAAATTTGGCACAGGGGGAGGTGCTTCTATGAGTCATGCGCAATAGGAGCCAAGAATGCCACCTAGAGCCCTGTCAATCTAACCTGGAAAAGGAGTCACTTAGGGGGTGGACCCATCAAAAGACCAGGAAAAGGGAATTTCAAAATGGCAGTGGAGTGAATGGAAGCTACAGACCGTCTCCCAGGACCCAACTGAAATTACAACTAAAATAAAGACAAATCGTGAGAAAAGGCAACAGAAAAACAGCTTGCGAGGATCATATAACCAGGGACACTGAGCCAATCCTGGTAGGATTGCGGAGGAGTGAGAAGGGGGATTGGAGCCCACAGACAGCAGCAGCCTCAGCTGTGAGCAGGGCTCTCGGGTTAAACTCGCAAGCGGCTCCACAACACAGAGCTGGGACAGATGCTAAAATAGCCACAGCCACTCACCTTGGGCTCCAGCAGAGGGATGGTGAGCTAGACTGGAACTGTGTGGGGACACTCAGGATTTGGAGGGCACTCAGAGCTTTTGCTGAGTTGCAGCCATGCAGGACAGTAGTCATCTTACTCCTTCCCAGGGCTCTGGGGAGAGGCAGCGGCCCTTACCTCCGAGTTTCAATTCCACCCAGGTGGGCCATTGAAATGCAAATTGAGGCTCACTGAAAACCAGCATCTGTTCCACCCTCGGGAAATTCCCATATGCTGAGCACCTGAGGGAGTTTTTTATTCAACTGAGAACCCAAGGCTCTTCAAGTAACCACAACAAATAGCCTCCAGGCAAAAAGCTAGAGGATCACTATACCATTCTTGAGCTAGCAACTCTAACCAGGAAAGTAAGACTTGACAGTGGTGTTTAACCAGGGTCCTACCTCACTCATCCTAACCCAGGAGAGGGAGCCACAAACAGCAGAACACCAACATACACAGGAAAAATTTGGCAGGCTCCAAAGCCCACTGTGATAGCCATAATGGTGAAACATAGAAACAAAAGCCAAATGAAAGAACAGGAGACCTCTACCAAAGATGAGATAAATGTGGAGCAGTTAAGCAATTTAACAGAGATGGAATTCAGAGCCATGACCTTGAGGAAGCTCAACAGCATGAGTAAGGACATAGAGATGTTGAAAATCAACCAGTTGGAAATTAAAAACCACCAGGAAGAGATCAAGAGTGACATATCACAAATAAAGAATACACTAGAAAGTCTAAAGAGCAGAGTAGAGAAGCTGAGGACCGGATCAGTGAATTAGAAGACAGGGTAGAAAAAAATCAACCAATCAGAAAACCAAAAGGAAAAAATGATTAAAAACAGGAAGACAGCTTAGGAGAACTGTGAGACAAATGGAAACGTAATAATATTCACATCATAGGAGTCCACGAAAAAGAAGAAAATGAGCAAGTGTTAGAGAATATATTCAAAGAAATAGTGACAGAAAACTTCCCTAATTTGGTGACAGCAGAAGTCATTCAAGTTCAAGAAGCACAGAGAGCCCCAAATAAGAAGAACGCAAACAGGCCCACACCAAGACACATAGTAATTAAAATGCCAAAAATTAAAGACAAAGAGAGAATCCTAAAAGCAGCAAGAGATAAGCAATAAAAGCAGCAAGAGATTACCTACAAAAAAACAAACAAACAACAACAAAAAAAACATAAGGCTCTCAGCTGACTTAACACAAGAAAACTGCAGGCCAGAAGGAAATGGCATGAAGTAATCAAGGTCATGAAAAACAAGGATCTGAATCCAAGACTACTCTACCCAGAAAGGCTTTCATTCAAAATAGAGGGTCAAATAAAGAGCATCCCAGACAAAAAAAAAAGGCTAAGGGAATACATTAGCACCAAACCAGCACTGCAAGAAATGTTAAAACTACTGCTGTAATTAGTAGAAGAAATAGAAAAAAATATATAACCACAATAAACAAAAATGGCAATAAATAAGTACATATCAATAATCACCTTAAGTGTAAATGGATTCAATGCTCCAATAGAAAGACACAGAGTAGCTGATTGGATAAGAAAGCATGACTCATCTATATGTTGCTTACAAGAGACCCACCTCACAACAAAAGACTCACATAGGTTGAAAGTGAAGGGATGGAAAAAAATGTTTCAAGCAAATGGAAAGCAAAAAAAAAGCTGGGGTAACAATATTCATATCTGATCAAATAGATTTCAAAATGAAGACCATAACTAGAGACAAAGAAGGCCACTACATAATATTGAAAGGATCTATCCGACAGGAAGATATAACCTTGATAAACATATATGCACCCAATATAGGAGCACAAAAATCT